TTGTGGAAGATGCGCCGCGGCCGCGCTGTGGGAGCGGGCTGAGGCCGAGGCGAAGTCCTCGTCGAGGCCCGCGACGACCCCATCCCTCGCCTTGCCTGTCCCACGGGCCGTCGGCCAGGCTCTGTCCTCGCTGAGGGGCGCGCCCACCTATCGCAGCCTGGCGCCGTGGCAACGGGCGCCGGGCAACGTGGGTGCGGCGTGACCGCATAGATGTTCCGCGCACTCTAGGGCCTTTGGCCCGCGGTCGTCACTGTGGCAACGGGCGTCCTGGCGACGCGGAGAGGCGTGGCGCTGGCCTCAAGAGGCGGCGCAGGCTTCCCGGCTCCTGCCGGGCACCCTGGCCGCAATCCTGGAGCAGGGGTCGGCGATTTCCCCGGGAGCGGCCCGGGAACTCCTCGGCCTCGTTGCTCTCGTCCATTTACTCGGTGGACAGATGTGTCGTGGCCACCCTCTGCCTAGCACTGTCACAGGCACCAGGCGGAACAAGGAACAGGACTCCAACCTTCTCAGCACATAGACCCGTGGTCGAGACAGGGAAGCCGAGGGCCGGGACAGTAGCGCAGCAGGAAGACACGGGGAGGGCGTGGGCTCGGGTCCAGACCTGCCCGAACCGGTGCTGGCGAGGCGGGATGAAGGCGGAGTCAAGATCCTGTTGGTGATGTGGGTGGGCCCAGAATTCACAATAGCCGGAGGCCAACCCTGGCCATCCCTGGCCATCCCAGGCCTCTGTGAATTCTCTGCCTCTCCCCCTCTGAAGTGATAAAACAATCTGGGACCTTGAGAAGCTGAACACCCTGCTTATCTGACCCTTTTCTTCCTGAGAACAAACTCGGCTGCACCTTCCCCATGGGCTGCTGCTTCCTGATGGGCTCACCCCTTAGCGCGCTGGAAGCCGGCCCTCCCCAAATTCCCGGTAAAAGACTGTGCACCACGCCCAAGAAGGTGGGAGATGCTGTGTTAATGTCTCCCATGCCTGCGTATTAGTTACCCCTATCTCTCCCGGGTGCTGCCTTTCATTCCTCAGCTGTCCGGTTTTCTGCAACGTTGAGAGTGCTGGCTTTCTCATTCATGGAGAAAATAAACTTAAAAAAGTAAAAGCGGCCGGGACCAGCAGATGGCGTCATGGCTGTCGCTTGACTCTCATGTAGTCGACAGCGGTTCTCCCCCTCTGAAGTGATAAAACAATCTGGGACCTTGAGAAGCTGAACACCCTGCTTATCTGACCCTTTTCTTCCTGAGAACAAACTCGGCTGCACCTTCCCCATGGGCTGCTGCTTCCTGATGGGCTCACCCCTTAGCGCGCTGGAAGCCGGCCCTCCCCAAATTCCCGGTAAAAGACTGTGCACCACGCCCAAGAAGGTGGGAGATGCTGTGTTAATGTCTCCCATGCCTGCGTATTAGTTACCCCTATCTCTCCCGGGTGCTGCCTTTCATTCCTCAGCTGTCCGGTTTTCTGCAACGTTGAGAGTGCTGGCTTTCTCATTCATGGAGAAAATAAACTTAAAAAAGTAAAAGCGGCCGGGACCAGCAGATGGCGTCATGGCTGTCGCTTGACTCTCATGTAGTCGACAGCGGTTCTGGACCCGGTGGCTTAAACTCATGCAGGGAGCGTGTGCCTGCGCGCCCAAGATCCTGAGAGGAGGCGGGATTATGGAGGTGTGCCCCCCCCAGGGAGGTGATTTCTCTCTTTCTGGGGAGTGGACATGCCCTGTATGTCCACAAAATCATCTCCCCCTCCCCCCCAATAAAAGGCAGGCTAGCAGGTGGCATGGTGGTTAAGGCAGTGGACTCCCACATGGCTGACTGTGGTCCAAGTTCCGGACCTGGTGACTTAAATTCACGCCAAGCACTTGTGCATGCATGGGTGCCCAAGATCCCAGGAGAAGGAATTGTGGCATGGCCACCCCCTAGAGGGTGTTCTCGCTTTCTGTCTCTGTCTGACAATTGCAAAAACCTCTCCAAAAATTTTTTTAATTAAATAATTATTTTTAAAAATATATTTTTAGTTTTAATTTATACATTTATTTTAATTTGACGAGAGAGAGAGAAAGCAAGCCGCCAGGTCTGGAACTCAAACCATGGTCACCCATGTGGGAGTGTCCAGCGCCTTAACCACCACACCACCCGCTCGTCCCCTAAATAAGTAATTCTTTTGAAAAAAGTAAGGGGGCCAGTAGGTGGTGTGGTGGTTAAAGCACTGGATTGCCACATGGCTGACCAGGGTTCGAGTCCTGGAACTGGTGACTTTTTACTTTCTCTCTCTCTCACTCTGTCCCTCTCTAGCCAAATTAAAATAAAGTTAAATAAAATAATTTAAAAAGATTATTTTAAAAAAGTGAAAATGTCACTAGGTGGTGTTGTGGTTGAGGTGCCGAACTCCCATATGGTCAATCACAATTTGAGTCCTGGACCTGGCAGTTTGCTTTACTTGCCCTCTTTCTACTGCTCTATATCTCTGGTCAAATTCAAATAGTAATAAGTAAAATAAGATAACTATCTTAAAAATAAAATGTCTTTTTATTTTTTAAAATGTAAATGACCAAGGAGTCATGCTGGTAAAGGTCCAGGTGCCAGCTGGGCAGTGCCATCAGTAGGGCATGTCAAATCCCCCAGGGTCACTGTGGAATGGAAGTCTGAATGAGGAGGAATCAGCTGAGTATCTTCCAGGCCAAACCTAACCAGAGTCTTGGCTTCTGTAGGCAGAAACACCAGTGGGGCGGGTTACCCTCAGTCCGGAGGTGGGCATGGGCCCAGCGACCTTGCTGGCCCCGCGGGGCATCAGGAATTTATCATAAGGGCAGTGAGAAAGCGTAGGAGTCGTGGGGAAGGCTTCCCCAGCCTGGCCCGCTTGCTTTGCAGATTCCTCCGGCTGTCATATGGGGACAAGAATTCAGACGCAAGTGAGGCTCTTGCTTGGGGTGGCAGTGGGCCTCGGAAGCCATGTCCTTGGCTGGGAGTAAACCTCGTCCTTCCCCACTCTGTCCTGCCCCACCTTGGACCCCACTGAGGTTGGGGAGTGGGGAATGTGCCAGGCTTGGGCCAAGACTAGGGGTGGGCTTCAGAGAAGCCTCTGGTGGGACCTTGAGGCCAAGGCAGTTTCCTGGCAGGGGGCCCTGGAGGCCAGTCCCCACGCAACTGTGGGCTCAGCACCGGGAAGCAGTCCAACGAGGTGGGGCGCCTGGGCTGCCTCCGTCCTCACACACCCCGGCTGATGGGAGCTGGTCACTCCTGACCATGGCTGTTGCTGGCAGTGAGGACAAATCATGACTTCAGAGGTGTCTCTCCAACAGTTCTAGTGAGCCCTCCCAGCCCTCAGTGCCAGTGACCATGGAGACAGACCCTCTTCCTCCCGCCCCAAGCTTCCCCAGTACACAGGACGCCCCGAGGTGAGATCCCCCAAACATAGAGGAAACACAGTGATCAGTTAACACGTCTCCCGCGTGACTCGGGACCTTTCCGAGACATTGTCCAAACGTGAGGTTAAGCCCAAGCACCTGCAGCCTGTGCTGACCAGCCAGCTGTGGACCGCCACTGCATGCACGAGCCCCAGGGGCAGCAGCTCAGACCGGCTGTTGGCGGAGCGGGTCACGGGGCCTGAGCACTAGCAGACTGGGACAGCCCAAAGGGGGCGCTGCCACGGGCGGAGGCCCAACAGTCCTGCCACCTGCCCACCCCCAGGGCAGTCTGGGCTTGCGCACCTGCAGGGCGGGCCGGCTCCTTCCTCCAGCCAAGCCCTGTGTTCCTTGCGGGACAGCGAGGAAGCTGCAAGGGCTCGAAGGGGCCAGGCAGCTCTGCAGGACCAAGGGGAGATTCCATTCGGACCCTTCTTCCTCTGGGAGGCGGCGGAAACCCATAGCTCCAGCCCACTGTAGGAGCCTGCCCCGGAGGTCACCAAGATGGCAGAGCACCGGCATCCAGTGTCAGTGCGCGCTGCAGCCCTGGTGCAGACCCAGGGGCTCCAGGTGAGACCAGATTGTGTCCTCGCAGGCCTCAAGGAGGGAGCGCCCATCCCTTCGGAAATACCCTGAACTTTCCCTCCCACAGTCGTTTGCCTTTTCTGTGCGCTGGTCAGACAGCAGCGACGCCTTCGTGCACAGAAGCTGGGACGAATTCAGACGACTTCAGGTGAGTGGCCCGGAACCAGCAGGAGGTCCCCTCCCAGCAGGGACCCTCCAAAGGCCCTTCCTCGGCGCCCACGCGGGGTCCCAGCGCCTGTGACCCTAGAGAGGGACTCCCTGCTGCCTGGGGAGCCTGGTGGGCCTTCAGCGACCTATACCCCGATTCTCGCCCTCGCCCTCAGAAGACGCTCAAGGAGACCTTCCCGGTGGAGGCAGGCCTGCTCCGGAGATCTGACCGCGTTCTTCCCAAGCTTCCCGGTCAGACCAGCCCGGGTTCCAGGAGGGGCGGGGCAGCAGTGGCTTGTGGAGGGCGGGGAGCTTTGGGGCGCAGTCCGACGGTGGGTCCCTATGATGCACGCAGATGCACCGCTGCTGGCGCGCGGGGGGCGCATCGGCCGTGGGCTGGCGCGCCCGCGGG